AACACACAAGGTCATTTATGTTATATTTAATGTTTAAATTATCTTATTTTTTATTCAGAATTTTTAATATATATAGGGAAGAGTAGAGAATAAGAGATTTAGAGATTTATCTTCTTTAAAATTTGGTAGCTTGAATATTTCGCAGTGGTAGTGAAGGTCATTATTTTATCTATAAGTGGGATAAAGGTTTGTGATTATTTTAATTTCTAGACCCTACGCACCCCTATGCCCTTTACTACCGAATTGAAGGTATTAAACGACTTCTGTGGTATGTTATTTATCCGTATAAATAAAAAATATCATGTTAAAACAGATTGATCATTAAATTTCTGATATTTACTTAGGAAACTGCATCCTATGGGTTGCTACAACAGCTAGTTATAGTTAATTTTCTATTTTAAATTTATTGCGACATTTTTACTCATAGTATAGTGTTGCATCAAAATTTCTATTTTCCGATTTTCTTCCCTTTGTTTCCCTCCAACACAACACAACACAGGCCGAAAAAAACACAGTGTACTCTCCCTTCCTTCAATATCATACAAAGAAAATCTTCCGACGTTTTTCAAGTACGCAACTATGCTCATTTGGGGCTGTTCCATAAATGATGTCACACTTTTCTGCAACATTTTGGACCCCCCTCCCCCTCTTTGTCCCAAAGTGTCACACATACAACCCTCCCCCCCCTTTGTCACATGTCACGCAATATTACTTAAACTTATACTTGCAGTTCAAAAACGTAGCACTACGTTATAGATCATATTTCAGACTTTATTTTTAAATTTAAACTATATGTTTTAATGATATCTGTAAATATAACAATAATAATGATTTGTGCACTTATTTGTATGGAAATATGAGAAAAGTTTACAGCAAAAAATAATTAATACACAATAGCAATAAAATTACAATTCTGCCGCTACCCTATTCTCAAAACCTACTCTGAATGCCTTTTTTTTTTTTTTTTTTTTTGAAAGAAAGGAATGTAAGCAAAAAAAAAAAAAAATCACATGAAAGTTGCTTTCGCCCCAATTAAGGAAATACCTTCAAATTTTGGTAATTTAAAAATAACTTCAAAATTCAATCTGCTGATTTTAAACATTTTTATTTTAATTCAAAATATGATGTCACACCTCTTGTTACGCCCTCCCCCGCCTTGTCACAAACTGTCACAATTTCACTAACCCCCTCCCAAGCGTGATATCATTTATGGGACGACCCCTTTCACGAAATTGATAGAGCACCCATCGATTTTGCTGCACCTGCACACAAGACACAACCGAAAGCGAAAATGTTTTCATCCATCCACTTAGTGCGCCAATCCTCCCAACCCCCACTGGCCATCAAAGACAATTTACACAAACCCCAACACCAGAAACAAACCGCCGCGCTCTCCTGCTCCTCAGACACTTCCGTAGTTGACATGTTTTTGATATACAAAATCTTACTCCGTACAGATAAATTCAAACACATGGTGACGTGGCAGAGTTCCTTCAGTGCGCAAAATCGTTAGCTGCGATTTCGGTACTCAAATCGTTACTAGGGCACTTCAGACTCCAAATTGTTACTAGGGTGCTTCGGTATCCAAATCGTTACTAGGGTACTACGGGGTACTTGGTCAGCAAACCATTACTAGGGTACTCGGTACAGCAAACCGTTCTCTATTACGGTACTTGGTAGGGTACTTGAAATCGGTTTTCGGTACTTTTCAAATAAACAGTTACTTGAGTAACGGATATTTTGTACCGGGTACTTGTCTGTACCCATTACTCTCGTACAGGATACAAGAAAGTACCAAAGTTGCCCATCACTATCAGTCACTAGGGTTTCAGTCAGTCACTTTCAGGGTTTGAAAGAAACCTGAGAATGGTTAAGAACCAGAAAGAATATTTAAATGTTTTCTGATTGGTAAGAGACAATTATAAAATAAAAGCACTAAACTCAGTGGCGTAACAGCCCTAGTGGGCCAAGGCCTGTAGTGCCCCGTATATCTGCTTTCTTGACCGTGGGCCCTAGGGTGCATTAGCATATGCTCCAGAAAAGTGGTCAGTTTGTCGCAAGAGCCTCGGTGTTTAGTCCCCAAGTGAACTTGGTACTTATTTTATCGGCCCACTCAAGGGATGAAAGGCTGAATCATCCTTGCCCAGCCCTGGGATTAAACCCTGACCTGTAGTGCTGCTAACCATTGTGCCACCATGCTTCAATTATAAAATATGAGTGCTAAATATATTTTAATTTCTGCAGTTTTATCTTTAGTGACACAACTATAACTACCTGTATAAGGCCATGTAACAGCTAATGTATACACACATATACATTCTGAAATCTGGATTTCCAATAATCAGAATGGCTTTCTACTTGCATAAAGGGGGAAAGTGCAGAATTGCCCACTGCTTGGCGAGTTTTTAAGAATTGCACAGACTCGGTATCCATGTACACATCAACCTACTTTCACTTAAAAAAAATATCAGAAAATCCAAAAATCAGGCACTGTGCATTATAACCGGGGCTGTTAAAACAACTACAATTCTGGCAATGCGATTGGTATTGGTAAACCAACCAATGACAAACCTGATTCAGAAAAATGCTTTCATCCTTTTCCAGAGACTTATTCGTCTACCAAGTAACCCTCATTGGAGGAATTATGATTATAATAAACAATGAAATCTGAAGACACAAAATGGCTTTCTGCAGTGTGTCTCTTACCTAGAACAATGCAATCATATAAGAACGCTGAAACCAGCACTGCTGTTTTTGCTAAATCCTTTGGATTATAGCTTCCTTGATGTGTGGTTTGACCTCAAAATGAAAATAGATAAGAAGGAAATGAGTCCAGAGCAAATAAGAAATATAGCTTTGGAAACAATTGAGCAATGCTTTCCGGCTGAGGAATGGATACATGTATATACGGATGGCTCTTTGACCGATAGAATCTAGGGGGCTGGAGCTGGACTTTTTAGCAAGCTTTTCAATTTCTACATACCCGTAAGAGCTTACTCCATTCACTTTGATGGAGAACCTAAAGCCATTCATATAGCTCTCCAACAGTTATCATTGAGACAGAGCTCGTTCACGAGGGCTGTTGTACTACCTGATTCGATTTCAGCAATACAGGCCATCTCCTCTTACAAAGAGTGTAAGAACATATGCGTTCAACAGTGTCAGGAAGTCATAAAAGAACTTTCCCACAAGATATGTTTTCAATGGGTACCTTCAATGGGTATTTATGGGAATGAGATGGCCGATATGCTTGCGAAAAAAGGGGCTACGGTTCTCCAAAAGCCAAAAAATGAGTGCAAGCCTCCATTCCATTAAGCTTCTGACATCGCTAACGTATCAAGAATTTTAGATATTTTGCAACTCGGACTTGTGAGGGCAAGCCTTGGAGTGTTCTCTCAACAAACCCAGCTTTCGTTCCTGACCACCTGCAAACAGTTGCGGTTGCATCTTTTAGACTATTGATGGGACATGATTTCACATTGGGCTAGCTGATTCACCATTGTGTGTTTTATGTAATAGTGGACAGCCAATGATGGTGAAACATTTGGACGAGTGTGAAGCACTGACAAATTTTTCTTGTAGATTTCAGCGCTATTGGCAAGTAAGGAGTTTAATTGCCTAACGGCCAATGTAACTGGCATTTGACAATATAAAAAATATCTGAATTGCACAAATACGGCATTGTGCACTCTTTTGACTTTGTTGATGTACATATCAATGTATTTTCACTTTAAAAGTGAAAGAAAATTGACAAAAATCCAATTCTTCTACTCAAAAAAAAAAAAAAATGTTTGGTAAAAATGCCAAACATAGTGTGCCAAATAAGTGAACGATTCTGCACTTCATCCACATAAGTAATAATAGAGAATAAACCAAGAAAAAACAGTATGCAACAGACGGAAAAAAGTAGAGGTCCTATCCCCCCCCCCAAATGGATAAAAGAATACTTAGGGCAAAATTATGTGAGGAATACAACATTACACAGCTAACAGTATACAACATAAAAACTGAAATTTTGAAAATGAATTTTTCCCAGTCCTAACACACCATTTGTATTGAATAACAGGAAAATCATTTGACATGTTAAAAATAACAGATCAAGAGGTGATACAGCATAGTATTGAAGAAGTACCACTGAAGAGCTCAAATCAAACATTTTGACAAACATGAGGAAATACACTTACAAACTGAATGCACATATCTATATAGTTAACAAAATTTAAAATTTCAGGCAAAAATGTTCTAGCTAATACTGAAGCAGCAAACATACAAACTTTTTTGGGAGCAAATATGTGCTTCTAAAAGGAGCAAGAGATGCAGCTGCTCAATGCAGCTGTACAAGAATGCTTTTCTCCTGTTTACAAAAATATAATTGGAGTACAATGAAAGGCAGTGTATGAAAATTTAGCAGTACTGGAATGTGAGAAAAATGAAAGGATTACGATATTCATACTAAATTTAAAATAGAAGTTTTATGGATCTGCTTTATTTCTCTTGACTGGTTAAAAGCCTGAGTTTATAAAATTTATCATTATCATGGGGCAAAAGACTGCTTTCATTTTGCTATTAGCTTAATATACGCATCATTAACTTTACATAATTCTAAGACAAAGTTTAATCTTGAACTGACACACAAGATAACGATTTATTAGGAGCATATTACTATTTTTAGAACAGAAAGAGAAAATATACAGATTAATACGAGAGTTTAGGGTCTGTAACAAAAAGTTTTAATTTTATCTTACATACATATATGCACACATAATGTTGTCCTGCATAAGACCTAAAAAGTGATGATGCATCTTGAATATTATGATGCATACATAACTTAGTAGTTTAGCATATAATTTAATGTAGCCTGATTTCTAAGATCTTGAAGTTATATACACGGCAGAAAAAAGAAAAGAATATAGGATATTTGAAGATAAAATTAGAGATATCACTAACATTAAAATTTTGCTAATAGCAATAATGAAATTAAAAAGGAAATTTATTCATACCAGAAGAAATGAAAATTGTGACAACTCCTCAGCTGATAATTAAGTTTGTAGAAAAGATACTGAGATGAGCATGAAGCCAGCTATCCAAGATCTTGGCAACAGTTTCATCATAGTATTCCTTTCCCTATAACATTGATTTATTGTAGTTTGGCATTGAATAAAAGAAACACAAACTGTATATGATAAAAATGAAGAGTATAAATTCTCACATGCAACAATTTTTATGATACTTACTATTGAATTACATCAATAATCAAATTAATACTGTTATATTAACTATACCAATTAAATCTAAAAAAATAGGTCAATGTATGCTTGTTAATTTTATGTTTAAGATAAAGCAAGTAGGAATTAGAATACAAGCATAAATAGATTAAATTCAGCATTTCTCCTAAGTTGCGATTATATATATATATATATATATATTTTCAAAACTAGTTTAGTTAAGTAATAAACACGATATTAAAACATTACCACGATAAAAGATTATTTTATAAATTATAATATTATTTCGGATTTACCTTTGAAATGAATTCTGTTCTCATTAAGTTTTTACCTTGGAGAGGCAGGGATAAAAATTCATTCCACTCTGCAAAAATAAAACGGTTTTTAAGAAATGATATAATATGTACAAAAAAATAAACATTTCACCAAGATTTTTATTTAGCTCAAACATTTTAAGCATTAAAATGATAATAAGCATTTAAAATTCCGATAATATCTCATACACCAATACTTCAGAAACGTTATAAAAATAATTATTCCTGAAAAATTTATTTAATTTTATATCAAAAATATAAAATAATCAATGAAATACATGTGAATTAAAACGCTTTCATGAATAGAGAATCCTCTGCACGACCAAACCGCATCTATTACAAAGTTAAGAAATGACTCTCCCAGGAACTGAGCGAGTGAACCAACCCAAAGCGAGGAATATGAGATAACAGATTGATTGCGAAAAACTTTCGAAAAGCAGAGCATTCTCGAGCAAAACTGTACTTTTTCACAAGTAATACTAATCAGGAAGGGCAAAATAATCATACTTACGTTGTATTTAGATACAAAAATATTCATTAATACGTCCTACTAATAACATCTAACACTATTACACACTCCACAGTCACAGAGAAGCTACACTCAACTGAGAAGTTCTCGATACAGGTTGCCAAGTTTCACACAGAAAAACTTCGTCGCCAAGTTCTCGCCAAATTCTGAGCTGTGAGAGGGAGAAGCCAGTTTAATCAGAGATGGCGTTCATTATTCAGCAATCAGCTGATAATATCCATTTGAGTGCACGCGTTATGGTTCTTACATGCTATTAATTATTAATACGCAGATGCATATAGAAATTATGTGCATTTAGTGTCGAAATATTGGTATAGAAGTTAGCTATTTAATTGTTATTTTTTATTAAATATATAAATATTGCGTTTGATTGCAATGAATTATTAATATATGAATGCACTTGAATAACTTATTGATTACACGTAATAAATTAAACATCATTTCTTAAAATGTTTGATCTAAAATGAAAGCAAAATTAAAATTTAAAAAAGTTAGGAATATATTTCAATTCTATTTCGGATAAGAGAGATAGAGGCAGAAAGCTTACAGTTTAATGGAATAATTACAACAGGTATGCTGTATTTTGTTGAAACGATTACAAGTTCCATGTCTTTTTCCTTTCTTTAAAATGAAATCAAAGAAATGGAGTACAATTCGCTTTTGTTAAAAAAGAGAGAGAGAAAAGAAAAGTGGGAAAAAAAAGAAAGAGGGACTAAATTTATTACATTTGGGAAATTTTACTCGTGCAAATTTCTAGAATGCGAATTAATTGCGGTCTTCTTATAAGAGTTTTCTTCAAGCAACTATGCCTAACGTCAGATTTCGTTTTAAGAGGGAGCACTCAAGATGTTCTTACTTGAGGAGGCTCAGCTAAACTTCTTGCGGTGATCTATTAATTATCTAACTTTCTCTATATTTGAATTTATCTTTGACCATAGAGAGCGAAATACCAAAAAGCTGCATTTTGTGCAAAGAATGCATTTTTTATTAAGAGAGTGTGATTATTGAAGTCTAAAGTGCGTATTACGCATGTCTCTAAAGGACAGAAAAGTAGCCATTTTTTATACCTGTGAATCAGTGTTATAAAAACTGAGAGTAGTTTTATATTTTGAAAGTTATTTTGTGAATACAAAGAATATAAAAAACACTCTTTCTTATTATGGCTTACAGTCTTTTCATATCCGAAGATTAGCGCATGTCTATAGAACCGGGGCATACCGGCAGAATGTCTATAGTCGGAAAACGCGCTTTTGCTTCGACAAATATGCTCCAGGTAGCCATCTTGTATTTAATAATGCAGTGCCAAATAAATACTTAACTGCTTTTTTCCGGAAGACGAAGAAAATAACATAAACCAGCTTGCGAGAGAATGTTTAACACTCCTGAAATAAATAGTAATGAAAAATACAAGTACATTAGATGTAATGTTTTTGGTTAAATGCATTTTGGTTAAACGCATTGTAATCACATACATAATCGTTAAATAGTATGTATATATATATATATATCAGTAAAGACATAAAGTAAGAAATTTAGAACTAATTTTTCACAAAAACCCATACATATATATATATATATATATATATATATATTATTTAAATTTAGCTCATGAATGCAAATTATTTGAAATTTGGCTCATGAATGCAAATTATTGAATTAGTTTGCTCAATCCAGCATAGTTCAGTTAGCTTTTCAAGTTCCTTTGGGTAACCATGGATTTAGAGTTTTCATCCTTCGTATAGTTTGTCTAATATGACCAAATTTTCCTCTATCGTAAATATGCAATTTTTTAAATATTAATGTGCGCCGATATTTTACAGGCACATTTCGCTATAGCTAGTAGGTTATAATCTTGAGAAACGGCTGTTTGCATGAATGTTTTCTTGGATTTCCTCATATGTAACGTGAATACAAGCGAATTTCCCTCAAAACATCCTCCACAGGAGAATCCCTAAGCTTTATCAAAAGCTCTCATGCGTTTTACTGCATTTAGTTTATAAGGTATTTTCTCCTTCCTTTCTGCATGCCTTCATGGTGTAACGGTAGCATATTCGGAGCGTATTCTAGAGGTACAGGTTTGAGTCCTGGTGAGGGCATTGCACATTTTCACATCCCCTGCTCCAAAAAACCTAGTGACTCCTCTACAGTGGCGCCCGAGCAAAATGGCGTAACGGTAGCATACTCGGGCGTATACAAGAAGTTCGAGTTCCGGAAGGGACTCGAACCTGGTAATTTTTCTTCGAGGGCATTACACATTTTTCACGTCTCCTGCATCAAAATAACCTAATGAAACAAACGACCAAGAAGTTAAGATTAAGTTAAAAAAAAATGTAGGACTTAGTAGCTGGTTTCACTTAATACGGTAAGAAGACTTTTGGAAAGTAGTAAAAAAAGGCAGAATAACATAAAATAAAACTCTAAATGTTTCCGTAAAGAATTACAGTTTTAATTATACCAGGGTGCCATTAAACATTTTAGCTTTATGACTTATGCATGTTGTTATTCTCGGGAAAACACAAGAAAAAGGAAATTCTCAGAAAAATTATTTTTAACAATAAAATAACAGCAAATAAATAAATACAATTAATGACAACTTAATTGTATGGTTATACATCTTTTCGTCCCATATGTCAAGACCCATTGATTTGGTATAAGACATATAAGGACTAATTCCTCAACACTCCAGTTTTGATTGAAACCACTTCCGATAATATTGTTGGACTAACTGTTGTTCCTAAAATAGAAACTAATTAAGTATGACAGAACATGCAAATGTTTACTTTCATTGGAAAAATATTATTTTCAAAAATAATTTATATCTTATTGTATGTATATTTTAGTAAAACTTAACAAATAGCTTGCCTTTTAGCCGAAATTCATATTAAATACGAAACTAAGGGTGTTAAAAAATTTATTTCAGAGATAAGAGGTGTATTTTTGTAACTTCTACAACCTGATGCAGTCAATCGGCACTGCATTAGAACAAAATAATGCATTCCAAATAGGGATATTTATTACGACACTAAGGTCTTGCAATAATTAATTCATAATATATGTTTTAATATTCATGTACTAACCTATCAGTAACGGAGTGGCTGAAGTGGTTGAATACTGGTATCTTCGTCTTAAATTTGACACATAAGAGCAGAAAGCTTAGGCTCCATGAAATCTGCCTCTTGTAACGAACACACAAGCCCAGTTCCTTTACCGAAGATCCTTTAAGAAAGCGTTATTCTCTCGTTTCAATGATATTAAGAAACTTCCGTTAATTTATTAAGTTAATTGTAATGTTATCTGCTTTTAGTATATATTAAGTCACACCAAACGAGCACATTTCATGGATTTCATACAGACGAACACATAATGATTAATATTGCTTTGCATTAGTTTTTAAAATCTTGCTAATTACTATATCTAAGAAAAGAATTTTACGACAACATAGTACTTGTTATGAAAATTAATTCCACAGACATTTTGGTTCTTACTCTTGCCACGTATGAGTTCCATAACTGTATTGTTAGTCTGAATTTCATCTGAGCTTTCGAACATTAGTAATAAAACGTGAAACGTAAAGCGTAGACTTCGATATCAAATATTTCGATTAATTAAGGAAATGTATGATTAAACTGATAATCATTTCAATATAATTATTCTTGAAATTTAATGTTCTTTTTTTTCCTGTCACTGAATTTAATTTAAATTTTACTATGAATACGTCATATTATTTAAAACAATGTAAAACATGTATTCAGATTCTCGTTGTTGCGTTACGAACGATTTCTATTCTTGTCTAACTTCTTTAGGGGGGGGGAAGGAGAAAGACTAGGAATAACTTTTCCGACATTTTTCTTCCCTTGACCTTTCTCCCCGCAACTTAAGCAGCTGGGTATCTCTTCTCTGCTCTCTACTCGACAACCAAACACAACAGCCTAACAAAATCAATGATTGACCAATGATTGACAAAGAAAAACTTGCAACTGAACTAAAGGTATTCTATTGTAGGTCTGATATTCATGAGTACTGCAAATTAATTGAGCTACTGAAATTTATCTTGGAAAATACTCTATACGATGTTCTTAGTGAAATTAAAAAACTGATAAAAATTCTCTTGACAGTTCCCATGACTACATCAGAGGCAGAACGGTGCTTTTCAACATTGAAAAGAATTAAACCTTTTCTAAGAAGTACTATGAACTCGGAAAGACTAAATGCGCTTTCAGTGCTTTCAATAGAGAAAAATTTGCCCAGTTCTCATCCAGCAAGGAGAAAATTATTGATCTTTTCGTCCAACTTAAAACAAGAAGAATGGATTTCATTTTTAAATGAATAAATAACGATTAAACTGTAACAATTTAGGTTAAAGTAAATAAGAAATGTTTAATTTTGTTCTTGTAAGATTTCATGAAGTTTCAAAATAAATTTCCTTTTTATACATGTTTGTTTGCTTTTACACAATTTTAAAACAAAGGTTAAAATTTTTTGGAACAGCACCCCTACTAATTTTAGCTACGAGCCGCCACTGGTCCGAATAATGGTTGATGAAAGAAGTTACTTGAGAATTAAATTAAATGTAAGGACACTGCCCCGTGCATAAAATTTAACAGGTGTTGATAAGCTGATTTCAATTCGATTCGAAGTCTAGCGCCGATGTGTTGCTATGCGTCCTTCATTGCAATTTGAATCTACAAATCTAAGATCATTCACACCTGAAAACATCTAAAACCCCAAATATCCCCACATAAAATCGTGAAATTCTTTTTTAAGAAGGAATTCCTTCTCCCCTTCTCGATTTAACACAACTCGTGATTGACAATGATTCAAATTTAGTCTCTTTTTTGATGATCAATTACTTTGCATAACTTCTTTACTTAATAACTGATCACAACATATCCAAATCAATACGGATTATTTTTTTTTATTCCTTATTTATTTTCTAAAAATATTGCTTTTTTTTTTTTTTTTTTTTTTTTTTTTTTCTTGTTGTCTTACTTTTGCAGTGATGCTAAGCTATATTTATTTCTTATTAGCTTAATGATACAGCTTATTTATTTATTTCTTATTA